ATAGATTTTCAACTGCATTGAGATTTAGATTGATTTTAACCTATCTTTTACAAAAAGAAACAGCTGATGTGGTATAATCTTTAATAGACTTCGAATTCCAAAAAAACAGTGTTAACAATGTAATTCATTTGTAATTCATTAAAATTAATCGTGATCTTTTCTACTCCTCACTTTACTCAATGCATAATGTCTGTCAAATACATGGATTTCATTTTAATTCGAGAAGAACAAGCATATATAGTTTCACTTCCATTCTAAACTGATCTCATAGCAGACATCAATAAACGATAATTTTTTCTGTCGTTTCCTAGGATCCATTAAAGCATTATCAAATAGCATTCTCGTGAAAGCGATAAAGGTAGCTCCAATCTATTTTGTCATATTATTCCAAATGTAGGACTACTAAAAAGTATTTCGACGTCTGAGTAACAGAGAGTGTAAATTTTGTGGAACTTTTGTTAAGGAATGGAGAAGGGTTGATAAATTTCTTTTCTTGAGCATCTGTCTAAATACGTCCTGACGTCTATATACAACCTGACTGATTTGTGGTATTTTACACATTTTCATGACTTTCTCAGGATTTCGAAATACATTGAAAAATGTAGAAAAGCAGTTGAAATATTTTGAAACACAAGAATTCGGAAATACAGATACTTTTTGTTCCCTTTTGGTTCTCACCTGTGTACACTTGTTGCTGGTGCACATTAAAGAGCTATGGAAAATCACAATGTAACTATGTAGCTTACTGTATCTTGACTGAAATATGTTTTTTTTATATATTCAAGCAACAGGTTATCGAAAGTGAAAATATCACTCATGAAGTCTCTTAAAGGTACAACGAACTCGAAGCTCCCCAGATGTCTTTGCAATAAAAATGAACACTTTCAAGAACTTTCGCCAGTATTCGAAAGACTTTTCAGAATTGCGTAAAATTTTTGTATCATTTTTCAAGACTTTTTATGATTTCTTTATATATCGTGATATTTCTACCTTTCGCTAACAGAAAGTATCAAAAACAGCTAGGCTAATCAGATTACATAACGCGGACTATTCAGAAATAGATATCAGTGGTCCTATAAATTGAACAGCACACATCAACATAGCTAGTTTATTCTAGTCGTAACACTTTTAGCAGTAATATGGATCGAAAATCAACTAACATCACAATAAAAGTTCAACTAGCAGTAGTTATGTGTCCGGTCCATCATCATTATGGTATAAATCATTGACAATACAGCTGCAAATACTTTGCCCGCTTACCAGATGAGCTACATGTGAGAATTTTGAACATCTTTCAAATCAATTTCAAAGAAAGATCTTGCGAAACATTTCAAGAAAGATTGAAAAAATTTGAAATCATTTGAATTGGCCTGAGAAAATCTTTATTCCACACCCACATTCAGAATAGACTCAGTCATAGAGAAACAAATATGACAAAAGACTCCATAATTAAAATGTCCTATTTGTGTCTCACTCAGAGCTTATAAAATCATTCTATAACAGATAAGCAAAATGAACGAAAATCCGTTATCTTGCGCAGTATTTTTAATTGCTGTCTTACTATTTAGTATTCGTTGACTGCGAACTACTACACTCATATATATGACTTGCTAATTAGGAAATTGGACTCTTCCTTGAAAAAATTAAAATAGTTTTATTAGACGTACTGCTATAGACAAACATCTTTCTCAATTCATAATTAAAAATAAAGTAAAAACTCTTAACCTACTTCGTAATTCAGAACATCGGCAGTAATGAGGGTTCAACTTGGGCGTTTATCTACGCCCTTTCACAAACAAACAAGGTTCATATATCTATTGATAAGCACTAATATATCTTCTGCCTAACTGACTCTAAATTGAAAAATACATTTGATCGCATACATAGACACCGAAAGACTAAAGTATATGTGATGTCCTTCTAAGAAACATCGGTGATAGATCTTCGATCGAATAATCGATGTGTATATTCAACTAATTACATGCTCACGTAGCAGTTCATCACATGAGCACACTGACGAAAAACCCATTTTAAAACAATCTTCTCAATCCTATACTAACACCTGCTAAAAACAAAGTTCGTAAAATTCAGCGTATTTTTTGTTTCTTCTCCTCTTATACCTTTTACTTTAGGCAATTGAAATTCTTTCTCGATGGGTTTTAGGTGAAAGATCTTGGGCAATTCACACTAGACTATAAAGTATTGTATCTTTTTGTCGCAGGTTATAATGTTAGCAATTCGATTATTAAAAAGAGTCACAATTAGAAATGGTCACAAAAATGGTCCCGTTCCGTATGCCCGCTATTCAATCACCGATTTGTTCAGCCGAAAGATCTCTATATAAGCAACTTTACCTTAGATAGAAAACTTATATGTTTTCATACTGATTTTCATCAAGATTATTCCCACTTATCTCTTCAACAATTTGCACTGCTGATTCATGATCTTCGACGTTCTTTCTGGCTAATTAAACATTGATTGGGGTATTTTAAAGTCTTTTTCATTAAGAGTAAAAAGGATCTCGCACGGTAACAACTAAGCAAATTCTTGTCGAACATAACTGTTTCAAGCTTAAGTGTTGTAAATTCGATAGTGACAATTTAACGCAGATAAATTTAACTGATTCGCTCTGCTGATTATAAATTCACCATTGTATTTTACACTAACAGCTGCATATATGACACTCCATAAAACACTCGAAATTCGCACATTTTTCGTTCTAATCTTTATTCACTATTATTTATTCACCAGCAAACATTAGTCCCAATATATCTACTTTAATATTATATAGATCAAATACACGTCTACCACGAATAACGAAGCATAGTTATTAAAATTTCAAAGGTAAAGTCATTCAAAGCTCTTTCTCGCATAATAACTCTCGATAAAGGCATTTAACGATCTCATTCACACTGTTTGAAATTAAAACATCTGAAAAATAACTTCTAAGTCAATATCTTCCATTCAAGATATTTCAGACTCCGATTCATTGCATTTCATATAGAAGGATCCTTAAAGATCTTTCTTGTTCAATGCCGCAAATTTGAGGCTTCTTTTAACTTCTCCTTCCTCTCAATCGATCGCTAAAGATGCTTAAAGACTTTTCCAGTCACTACATTCCATTCCATGTACTTGAAAGTCCTGTTTATTCCACTTTGTCTAGAATGATCCTTAAAGACCCTTATTGTTCAATAACACTTATTTCAGGCATTTTGAGGTCTCATTCCTCGTCATTCACCAAGAAAGTTCTTTGATGATTCTTCTATTTCCAACAAAAAAATCAATAAGACTACAAAAACGTCACATACGAGAGATTAACTGAAAAGGATCTTTAAGGACCCTTTTCGATAAAAGTGAATGAATCCTTCGTTCAAACATCTCAAATAGAAGGTAGTGGGTTTGAACTACGTTTAAGGCATCTTTCGGAGTCGATGGACAGGCAAGATGTGTCGAAATACTGGAAGTTTATGGTAGCTTGCTTTAGGTGTGTTCATGTCTGCTGTGGTATAGTGACGGATTTTGAAGCAGTGCCTGAGGTTAGTGCATTATCGAAGCGGCCTGGTAATTTATGTTATTTGGGATGCGACTAGCCAAGACGGGTAGGTGTCATGGTGTCGGGAAACCTGCGCAAGATCTCAGAAAGATTGGAACTTCCGGAATTTTCCTAGCTGAAAGCGGTCGGATTTCGTTAGTCCCGTCGCGTGCTGCGTTTGTATTCCTGATGATCAGGGGTCGGTTCCGGGGATTTTTCCCAATGGTTACGGTCGCGGGAACACTACGGAATACTTAGGTTACAATACGGTGATTATCAAGCGGAATACTGCTTCCAACTTCCGGATAGTTTTCCGGTCCATTTCCGGTTGGAAAACCTTTGGAAATCCTCGAAGATGTCGGGAAATAACGCCGTTTCCTGCCGTTTCCCGTCGGTTTCCGAGTCCGGAATCATCGACCTGGGGAGCCATCCATGATCGAACCGAGCTTACGTTTAAAGGTTTAATTTGCGATTGGTTATTTTACAAAAAAAGATTGATTTAAATTTATTACGTCAATAAATAATGTTGATCGTGTATTAGTTTAAAAAATTCTCAGCAAAAAAGAATCAAGAATAGAATGGATTAGAGAAAAGTACTAGAGAATTGGTTAGCTGTTTTGTTGAATTCAATCAATATTGATTGCGCGTATTCAGATCTCAATAATTTGCCTGAAATCTTTTTTATCGTGATTCTTATCGGAAATCGGTTAGGAACAATCATACACTGAAAAGAAAATTCACTGGGCACCTCTGGTGATCTTAAGAATTTTTTTTCACAAAAAGATATGCATTGCGATCATAACTGTTAATTATTTGCAGTGGCGTAGCCAGGGGGTGGGGCATTGGGCAATTGCCCAATAACTAAGAAGTTATTGCCCAAGAGTTTTTTAAATGCCACTAATTTCCCAACGCCAAAAACGTTTGATACACATAATTATATGTTAAAAGATACATGGTGTTATTGTAAAACACTGTCTCTCATTGTGATCTAGTTAATAATAATGATTTTTCCTTCAGTATGCATCGGTTTCCTAGTGACAATGCGTATCGGAAAAAATTGTAGCCCAATTGGTTTTTAATTGCCCATTGGCGCCTACTACGCATAATAATTTAGCTGGGAAACGGCCCATAACTCAAAAATTTCTGGCTACTCCACTGATTATTTCGAAAGGCTATCCTAGTACTGTTAATTGAAGATTGTGATCTCCAATTTTCTTGTGCGTCCACATTCGTATCTAAACAACAGTAACCAGAGATACCATTAGGAATAAAATTACAATAGTTTTCTAAAGAGAAATTAGATGATTCAAAATTTTTTGGAATTAAAATATTATTTAACAATTATTCTCATTCTTCCAAACATCAAAACTGCAACCAAAATGGAAATCTTGGATTGTGGCGTGGATTTGTCCGTTCGGCGGGAATCTGACCGTGAAATTGACCCTGGCAAAGGTGCTTTCAGTTAATCTCGCCAAATTCTCCTTGAGGAGTTGTATAGGAGAGTTGAAAAGTGATTAGAGCCATTGGCGCGAGTTCTTCGGAGAAACCTGAGGTTTCCAGGATTGTGTAGCCAAATTACGGGTAACAGAAGCATCTCACAGAACTCAAAACTGATCCATTCGATAGGGCAAGTCATGCTCTATATAGGATGAGGTTTTGAGAGATTCGTGTGATGAAATGGCGAAGCGCGACAAGTTCTTTAGAGAAACCTGAGCTTTCCAGGATTGTTTTGCAAATTTCGAGGCAATGGGAGCATGGGAACGAATTGAAAACTATTCCATTCGATAGAACAAGTCAAACTCTATCTAGGATGAAGTTTTGAGAGATTGGTCTGATGAATTGGCGAACCGCGACAGGTTCTCCTGAAAAACTAGCCTTTTTTGTGATAGTTTTTGCAGTATTTGGGTTTTTCCCTATGATGGGTAGGTCTTGGAGAAAAAAAACAGTGCATTCGATAGAGCTCGTCGAGATCTACCTTGGTCCGATGTTTGTTCAATTTGGCCTGATGATTTGGCGAATCGTATTGAAAAATACGCGAATCCTGACCTAAGATATCCTACGTGTTATTTTTCTCTTTATCTATCGTTCTACTAGTCCGACTGTCGTGCACATTGATAGATTGAACGGTAGAAAATTAACAATTAGACAGCAAACTATTTGAATAATTTTATTTTGAATTTAAATTCGTCAAATTTCATAATATCTTATGATTAGCTACGAAAAATACATATTAAAAAACACTCCAAATTCTTTGATAGTGATAATAAATCGTCCACAGGATTGACTCGATATTAGTCTCATGTTTTGCATCATATAAATTTTATATTTGGGTCACTACATCAAATTTTACAATCAACTTTTCACAGATATCTTCTGGATTGTAACGGTATCGTACGTATGGCCATCTTATCCTCTGGATCCTACGTATCCTTTGGATTGTGACCGTATCCCGGATAGATGGAATCCGTTTTTTTCTCCTTGATTTAAGTACAATCGAGATCTTGTTTGTCTATTAATCTTCATTTATTTTAAATATTGAACAATTTTTTATCTACGATATAGGATCTCCTTATTCAAAAGTTATCTTGTCGACTACGTGATTTACGAAGTCGTAAGAAAAACACAATTGTGGTGAACAACTTCCGCTCGATTGGGATGACGATCGTTATCAGGATGGTGCAAATCAAAATAATTCACCAGCTATTGAGCCAGCAACAACTGATAAGTTTATTCTTTCTCTTAATATAATAAAACTATGTTTCACAGATAATACTAATTCGATTGAATCGAAAGAATTCATGAAAAAATTGACCGGTGCATTTCACAACAATGAAATGGCAAAAGGCACATCCACTCAATTGATTGCTGAATCATTCCGTATTCGTCGAGCTTATTTACAATCTGGTCAAAGTATGCAACAGATTTTAAATGAGATGCCTTTTACACAAAACATAACATTTGTAAGTGTTATATTTTTATCAGTCCTTAATTTTTATTCTTTTTCGAAAGATCAAACTGGAATTTGAACTTGTTACTAAAGTGTCATTAATGGTTGCTACTGAACGCATTCAGAAGTTTCTGGATAACATTATTTCATATGAAACCTATGGTAAATTACCTGATGAAAATGTACGTATGAATAATATCTGAATAGAAAACATAAAAATCTCAAAGAGACTTATTTAAAATGACAAATTTAATGAAACAGTATCACCTTTTATCTTCTGGATGTTTAATTTGAGATAAAAAAATTCAATCTAAATTTATTTTTCTCATCGTTTTCTTAAAATTTCAACTTTATAGCCGTGAAGCTAAGATTGAACTATAAAATATTCTATTTTCTTTCCTTTTCTTAAAGCATCGATGTTAGTAAAAAAACGAATATTTCAAATTATTTAGAGAGATGAAGAGTTATTGCACGCATGAGCACATGTTACAGAAACATTATCACCAATATAAAGGTTTCAACAAAAATAGTTTTGCCTTCGTTGATTCATGATATAGCTTCATTAATGTTTTTAGTAATTTTATTGCTGTTTTGCAAATCTTTTGTATTTACGCCACGATTAATTTTATCCTGCTAAGCATGTTTTCACGATCGTTTAAATTCTTGCATGGCTGGTTAGTCTATTCTATCGCTCAGTTCTTCACTATTTTTGTATTTTTCATACTTTAGTTTCTCGATGACGTCAGTACTATGAAACTTATTCCATTGCTGGAAGTAGATAATCTATCATCATTACTTTATTCTTGCACGCAGCGTAATCAAACTTACTGTTACTTAACATATTCGAACCAAATTTTACTTGATTTCCCAGTGAAAAATGTTGTAAAAAAATAACGTGTTTCACTGGGTTTGATGTTCAAACTGATATGGCATATGTACTGACTGTATTATTGACCATTTTCTATGTACCCAGGTGGAGCATTACGGCTACCAGAAACGGTCGTATACAGCCGTAAACGTTAACGTGTACTGCCGTTTCCTGCCGTTTCTCACCGTAAATGGCCGTAACTTGACGTTTTGGCATGCACTATATTACGGCCGTAATTAATCGTGTCGTAAACGGTTACTAACGACCGTAATGTGGTCGGATATTTTCGTATCCGATCGCTTATGGTACGATACAAAACGATCGTAATACGGTGCATACCAAACGGCCGTAAATTATGGTCAAACGGCCGTGTCGACACAAGTTGATCGACCTGGGTATTTGATATTAAATTTCCACGATGCAACAAACCAATCCTGGAGGAATTGGATTATTTCGCACTTCATGGAAGCCACGCCAACGGTATAGCGACCTTTTTTTGCCACTCATTACCGATTATCATTTGTCTTTATTGTTTCAATTAATATAGTCATCGTTATTCATTGTATATCTATTAAAATTGGCTGATTAATGCTATATTTTTGCTTGAGTATGATATTACAGTATCTTGTAGCATGTCTTTTTGAAATTATTTAAATCAAGTATCAATAGTGAAAAGAAGAATGATCTTTGAAGTATTCTCAGATTATATACTGTTTTCGGATATAGAATAATATGCGATGCAAAAATCATTGGAAAAATGTCCGACCTTACTAGACCATATTCCCAACTCCTTAACTAATCAAACTGTCTTGTTGGAAAGAGCGATGGCTGAACTACAAATTTTATAGCAGGCATATTTTTTTAATACGAATCTGAGAAATAGAAAAAGTCAAAAACTAATCATCGTTTAAAAACGTTCCTGCGACACCTTTTCAACTTGAAAAATTCTGTATTTCTTAATTACTTTAAGCTATATTGGCCAAAATTGAATAAGTAATCAACCAAAATGTAGCGCATCGAAAAACTCGATTCATAAATCAGCTTTGAGTGTTTTTCTTGATCAATTCTTGACTCTTTTATTGAAGTTTGAAACAGAACATTTTTAGAAAATTGAACCATTCGCAATAACCACCAGTTTACAAAAAATATCAGCCACTATCTCCAGAAAGCATGCGTGAACTAGACTGTTTTTTGTGTTCTTTGGGTCTAATCATATTGAGACATGGAACTTCAAGAGGAAAAAAGTAATTAAAGAAATCTTTTTTATCGCAATAAAACGATCAAGTAGCGAGAACAACCAAAAATATTTAGCTTCGTCGAGAAAATTTAATTCATCGATAAAAAGATCAAAAATAATTTTCCTTCCAATACGCCATTAGAAAGAGAACTAATTGTGCTACAAAAATTGTCATTAAGCATGCTCTCTCCCTTCTTGTGTAATATAAAAAAAACCTAATAGAAAAAAAGAAATGACACTGCTCCATGGTATAGTTGCAAGAACTTTAGAGATGCTTGATTTTGGCTTTTTCGCTTTCTCAGGCTCGTGTTGGAGAAATATATCCGGTACAATACTTGTTGTTCAGACTTCGCTTTCTCTAAAAAAAGACAATTTGATTAAGTCAGATGTCGGGAATATAATCTAACAGAATTCAACATTTTTCTAAAGACTGTTAAATTACTTACTAAGTCAGAAACTCTGCAAGGCGTTCTGCCCTGAGGGCAGAACAGGGCAAAGCAAAATTTGATGTGTTATTGTCAGGACAGGCCAGGACAATGTAAATCAGAGGGACAGGACAGGGCAGAACAGAAAAAAGTGCCCTATAACGGTCTCTGATCCACACTACAAAAAAAATGATTTTAATTATATCAATGTTTTCACATTACCATACCAACAACTGGGCTTGCTTTTATTTTTTTCAATTAACTCTTCGTGTAGGTAGCTAGCGATATGGTGAATATACTCCTAACTTTTCAAGTAGAACGCATAAAGGCTCATAGAATTGTTTTGTGGACAAAGATAAACAATTAATGAAGAAGAAGCTGATTTACTGCGTAGTACATTATCGGATCTACTTCGAAATCTTCTATCTGATCGCATCTTTGCTGATACATTGCTGGACATGATTTCTGAAACGATACCTTATTTTTCACAATTTAAATATACTCGAACACCACAAAATATTGAACAACAACGACGAAGTCAAGAAAGTCATCTTCTTAAAGATTATCAAACAAATCTTGATGAAGTTCCTATGCATCTGCATGATCGCAGTCTAGCTTCATCGAGTACTGATCGAGAACATCTCGCTATTAATCGTAGTGAACTAATTCCAAAAGCTAAAATTATTAAACAAATACCCTCAACACCGTCATCATTGTCTGATTTTGACCAACAAAATTTAGATGACAATGAACATTTAAAAAAGAATCCAAATATAACAGCACTAACTGAAGATGTTCTAGAAAATACATTATGGAATATTTTACAAGAAGCATATCATAGTGAATTTAGTTTGACTGCTCGACCACGTCTTATTGCTTTACCACCTAAACGTCAATCATCGTTATTAACACGAACGAATCTTCAAGGAAGTTCAAATCAATTTATCTTTCCATCGCCTCCTCTCATTTTGACGGAATCTTTTGATTAACAGTGATTGTATTTATCGAGTTTTCTCTTTTTTTATTTTATTCAAAATAATACCAGGAATATTACTTTTATTTGCGTAATAAAAAGATTTATTGGAAATTTCACAAAATTATCAAATCATATCTCAAGAGAATTTCCAATGACAAACGGGATTTATACAGACTGTTATTTCGGATCATTTAAAATCCGGAGGTACTAATGATGATTTCTTGAAAGTAATACGATTTTCCTAACATCATGCATATATATTTTTGAATAAAAATAATCGCACACAGTTATATAAAAAAAAATGATATATCCGCTGATAATTCACCGTTTTAATAATATCATATGTCAAGATAAATCGATTATCATTAATGTTCTTATTAAAACATTCGAAATTCTTCTTCATGAAGATTATGCCTTGATACACGAATAGGCTCTTCGGCTTGACTAAGTGACGTTAGATCTAATGGATCTTTTTTTGTTGGCTTATCTTGTTTATATATAAAAAATTGCAAGAACAATCAGTAGCTAATATGTGAATTTTTAACTTACACGGTATATTATTTGGATTTTCTGATTGATGATATATTTTAATAAAATTAATGCTATCAAAAAATGGATGATTCTGAATATCTTTATTTCCATTAGCCATACAACCGAGTCGTGTTGTCACATCGATTACAAGTATTTTCTTAACTAAATCAGTTAACTCACTTGAAAATGATGACGGACACGTATAACGTTGATTAACAATTGATCTAGAGAATTTGGTTCTCTCGATATGTAGAAACAAAATGTTAAAACAAACTCGTATAGTTGAATATGGTCTTTGCCAGAAAATGGTGGTTGACCAGCAGCCATTTCAAAACATAGAACAGCGAATGTCCACCTGAAGAAAACAAAACTCAAAGAAAAATGTTATACTCTACTTGTTTTCTTGCATAACATACCAATCAACAGATTTTCCATAACCTTTATGTTTAATAATTTCTGGCTATACAAAACAAAAAAGGATAAATGCAATTATATCCGCAGTAATAAAACAAGAATAGCCGACAACGAAATTCGTACATCATATTTAGACATCCTTAAGTAAGCTTTTAGCTTAACATAGTATTTCAATCAAAACCCATTCTATGGGAAATCTAGGTATATGCGATTTGCGAAAGATGACCATCGAATAATCTATTTTAATTCAGTCTAAAACGTATCGTTTATCTTTGATCTAACATCTTTTTCTTGGGCATATTACCGGTAAATAATCAGGCGTACCACATAATGTATATGTTCGACCATTAATATGTTTTGCAAAACCAAAATCTGTTACTTTTAAATAGCCATTTTCCGCAATTAAAATATTTTCTGGTCTTGAATCAAATCTTAAAATTATGACATAGAGCAAAATTTAATTTCGACTTACTTAAGATCACGATATCTATAAAAAAAAAAGTCATTTAACAATGACAACGCATTCTATTATATTACGTACAATATATCAAAATGATGTAAATATTCAAAGACAAGGAATATTTGAGCGGCATAAAATTTCACATGTCTTTCATTAAATTTTCCTGTTCGTCTTAAATAAGTAAATAAATCACCACCTATAAAAAAAAGGGTCCTCCTGTTTTCATCGAATTTTTGTTTTCGTACCACTAATATATTCAAGAGATAAATAAACAAATGAATTATCTTTAAATGAAAAAAAATATCGCACAGTATTTGGATGTTGTAAAGCGAATAAAACTCGTCGTTCATTTAGTGTATGATCAATTTGTTTATAACGAACTAATTTTCTTTTGTCCATAGCTTTAATGGCAAAAAAATTAGTTCCATCATTTTTATTTGTATTATCACTTTTAAACAATGCTAAAACAACACGACCAAAGGAACCTCGTCCAAGTGTACGTATAAGTTGAAATTTATCAAGTGTGATTGTTGTATCACATGGTAATGCACGTGACCATCGTTGTTTAAAATTATCAATTAACTCAGCATCATCATCAGCATTTGTATACGAAATAAATTGATATAGTTCATTTTTAGCACCACGAACTAACGACGATACCATTGGAGAGATATTTAGTCGAAATCAATTTTTTGTCGTTTGTACGTTGCATAAATCGGCATTGTCCGAAAAAAACAAAATTCATAAATTTAACGCGCCTTTTTACAAATGTTATCATGTAATAGATGCTTTCTACTTTCGAAGAAAAACCATAATTTGTTGTGTAAAAATATATTAAAGAATTGATGGAAAACGTTTTTTGAAGGTACGTTCGAGCCATCCAACAAAGAATATTCGAACAGTATGGTTCCGCTTAAAAGAAATCATTATCACGCATATTTCACCGTAATTTCTTGACTACTTGATTATAACATTTTTCAGTGTGCGAGACATTTAGACAAAACATTTGTCCCTGTTCGTTAATAGAAAATGAATAGCTATATAGAAAAAAAAATCTTTCTTATACTTTATCCATTAAATTATAGTTCTTTATCGACTGTTTTTCTAAAGTGAATTCAATGATGTAATCGCATGTTAAAATATTTTATTTTAAATATGATCTATATAAACTTAAAATTCGTCATAAAAAATTGGTTTTCAAATTATTCTGAATTAATTCATTATTTTGTTTACTGTGTTCATATCTCAAATAGGGTAGGCGATATTTTTTATATTGATTTGGATTACCATATACAAATTCATCTTTGGAAAATTCTACACCACTCCATAAAATTCGATTCTTTTTTGGTTTGTTAAAAACTGATTCTTTTGCTTTTAATATCAACACTAATTTGAGTTTTTTTGTTGTATTTCAATGACGCATAGAGTATGTTGAAGTTTCAAATTTCATTTCAAAATTTTTTTTCCAATCAGCAAGCATTTTCAAAATGCTTCGTTCACGTTAATTTTCTTCAAAAACAATGCGTGCCTATTAATAATAATTATTCCAAAAACTCAAATAAGCTCAATTCGATTGTTTTTATTTATAAATAAAATAAAATAATAATGAGTGTGTTGCCTTGTTATAGCAACAATGAGAATGCGTCTTTTCAATAAATCAAGCAAGATAACAAAACAGACATTTTACCTTCTCTTCTATGAGAACAGAAGACAACGAGTACACTTTTGTTTTAAAGGGGTGTACAATCATTCGTTTTCTGCTTCCATAGTAAAAAGAACAACAGTTACAAAGCAACTATGATCATTTTACGTTTTGTCATGCTAGAATCAAAATGAAAGAATAGAAAAGAAACGCTGTGTATCAATAGCAACAGTAATAGTCGGTGAAGACATTTATTAGCATAGACCACAAGAAGAATCAAGAGTTCATAATGAGACGAACAAACCGCGTAGAGCCGGCTAGTACCGGTAGTGACGCTGACGATTTGGCACGAGCTACAGTAACAACAACAACACGTATGGAATTTGTACGACGAACTCAAGTCGTTCCTATGGTAAGTGAATGTGAATATTCGATGTTGAATATGGAATTAAATTGTTGCATGTCTACGAGGATTTTCTTTTTTTTTTCTTGTTCACTCTAATTGATCACGGTAAAGAGAACAATCAATTAGAATTTTACACCAAGTGGAACACATAATATATTTTGTATAAAATTTTTTTCTACAGACTTTATTCTTCTTATTTAACAGAGAGAAGCACTTGCTCAATTACATTGCGATCTCAATCAATCGCTAGCTGGTGATGTAATCATTTCACCGAGAATTTGGACCGGAATGCATACCGTTGGAACACCCGTGACCGTCAGGTAATATTTGATAAATGAAGGTCATTCCGCAATATTCATCATATTAGAAATATTTAATTAAAAAAAGTTTTTTATTTTTTCAACTGAAATAATAAAAAAAGGAACAGTTCAGCCTGTGATTGTATATCTTTGATTTAATACTAATCGACTTTTACTAATTATAATTCAAGAGCAAAATAGTGCGTTTATCGTTTTCTTTGTAATTGGTTGAATTGTATATCTACATGCACATTCATTTCTTGTTTCTAGTAGTGGCTCTCTGAAAACAGTATGTCTCATCGGCATCCTATTTATTGCCGTTGCATTAGTTGCTCTTTGTACTACGATTATTGGCTTAGCAATTGCATTTGGAAGTTAGTATTCATTGAAGTTTTTACTTTTTGTCTTCTTGTAATTTTATTTTTTCTATATAGATACAAGTTCTGTCGGCCAAAGTTCTATTGAACGTATGTAACTTTCATTTAGACGTGTTGAGTAATTCCTGTATGATTTTTATCAATTAGGATATGATGTTGGTAATTTAAATTTTGGAATGAGTGGTACTAATGCTAATCAATATCCTTCAAATAGTTATTTATCTATTGAAAACCAGGCTGCTGTGGAAACATATGTAAGTATAATTATTGCATTAAGTCATTATTTTTATTTTTCATGATTGTAATCTTGTTTTAGCTTTCGGATCAATTGTCTACCGAGCCTGGTTATCGTGGTTTACTTATTGAGGGAGTTCTTGTACAGCAAAATGCGTCAAGTGGTCGACGACGACGGTAATTATAATCAAAATTTAGATTATAAAATTCCAAGATTCTGTTTTTCAGACAGGCAACATCATGTTCCACTACATTCATTATTAAAAATATTCAAATTTATTTTGATGCTTGTTCAACTTGTATAAGTTCACGCAATGCTGCCTTACGTCGTTTGTTTGCGAATTTAACAGCGTTTCAAAGGCCACTAAATTTATCAGCAAGCAGTGGCAATGCATCTCAAGTATCTCTAGATGTATGTTCAACACCAAACATAACTGCTCTCTGTAAGAAATGAGATTTCTTATGCTTTTAACTAAAAAAAGGTTTCTTCTATTCAAATAGACGTACCAGTAGTATTAAGTATTTTGGAAGCACAGCAAATCAGTTCAAGTCTTATAACATCAACTGCATCTACAGCAACAATTACAGCAACATCAACTGCATCTACAGTAACGACTGCAGCAACATCAACTGCATCTACAGCAGCGACTGCAGCAACATCAACTGCATCTACAGTAACGACTGCAGCAACATCAACTGTATCTACAGTAACGACTGTAGCAACATCAACTTATGCAGTATCAACCAACATAGCTGAACTAACAACCCGTTCGCCCGATACAGTTACTTCTCAAAATATTCTTACAGAAAAACTAACAACATTGCAAGCCAGTTCTGTAAATTCAATCGAAGCAAGTTTCCCATTGGCTACAACAATAATTAATGATATAAGTACTATTATACCTACAACTATATCGCCAACAACAACAGATTCGACATCAAAGATGCAATCTACAAATGGGCAAATTTCAACAATTATATCTGAAATATCTACCGTTTTCAAGGATTCAACATCGACCGTGTCCATTCCGATAGATCAAACATCTTTCATGGATTTAACAACGATATCCGGCACAATTCAGGATACAACAACTTCAAAACAAACCTCAGACACAACAATATCAGTAGGTCTACCTGAGCATACCACGTTGACAGGTCAAACTACATATACAACAGGAACAAGCCCGGGTGAACATACAACTTCTGCAGGTCAAGCTGACAGTACAGCATCGATAGATCAAACTGATCACACAACAAGATCCCAGATAATTGGTGATACAACACTATTAACGAGTGATACGATGTCAACGAGAAGTATTCATGAGACAGTAATAACCCAAGCATTTACGGCAATAACATCTTCTACCAATCAACCCACAATATCCGGTCAGTTTACGGACGTATCAACATCGATACATAGTGAATCAACAATATCATCGGTAGCTGAGACAGTGACATCACAAGTGTTTGAAGCGAGTAGTTATCCTATGGCTTTAACTTCATCACTCAGTACGGATGCAATGGCATCATCGTCGGTCGGTTTTACTAGTGCACAAACATCTACTCGCCATGATACAATAACTGCAGCAACAAGTAGTGAGTTTGAAACAACGCCTCTTAACAACTATAGAGACCTAACAACTGGGACAGTAGAACAATTATCAACAATACATGATGCTAGTACTTTGCAATCTGGTCTATCTACAACGACGATTAGCCAAGGTCAAGAAACATCATCGACTCTTACGACTGAATCACCATTGTCCACACCGATTTATACTTATTCAACTGGTGCCTCTCATAGTTCGATCATACCAGAAGCTACTACAAGTAAAATTGAAATTGATACTGCATCGCCCTTTTATCATGATTCAACAACACAAATATCTGAACTGCAACCTAGTACAGTATCTAGTTATACCAAAGAAACAGGTCTTTCATCAATGTATTCTTCAACTACGATACAACCATTAACTGCTGATACTACTGTAACATCATCTGAATCAGTAGCTCCTACAACTACTAACTATTTTCAACAATCTTCTGATTCTTTATCAAGTACACCATCTCAATTGATCACCCAATCGGGTCTTACACAAACAGAAACATCTTATGCTTCTGATTCTACTGGTCAAATAAGTAAGTTCTATTATTGAAAGTTTTTTCTGCAAAAAGTAAAAATTATAATGTACTCAAAGGTAGCCAAATTTTCACAACAGATACAATTTTACTAACAACAGCAACACAACAACCCACTCAACCGATGCAGACATGTAAGGATATCAGGATTTTTTTTTAAAGTTCAGTATTTCATAGTTTATAAACACTGATCTCGTGTTTCAAGTCTTTTTTCTCAGCATCATACAGGAAAAATTCATAAGATCCTAATTCAGTCTCGTACAATACATTTTTTCTCTAGCATTTAATCCAGCAAGTATTCAAACACAAACTACTACTCTGGAACAAAATTCAGCATCTCAGATAAGCACAGAAACAATAACTATGGGTAAATTTAGCTTTTCTTCGAAACTCTCATTGTTTTGTAAACATTATTTTTCTGATAGCATCAACAACGACAACTCAAATGTCGTCTTCTACACCCACTGGATTATTTACCAGCATGGATTTAACTTCAATGGCAACCAAATTTGGTCAATCATCATTACCAACAAATATTTATGAAACAAGTGAATCATCGTTAACAACAGTTTCATCAATAACTATATCTGACGAATTATCTACCAGCGAATCTTATGCAACATCATCTGACTTGCATACAGCCACGACTATTGTAAGTACTTTTGGCATGATAATAACAAGTACATTGCATGAGGATTCAACTAATCAGCAAAGCTTGCAAACATCTTCTTTGACTACTAATGCTTTACTAACACATGCTTACGTAGAAAGTAGTTCAGTCACTTCTATACCAACAATTTATTCATCAATACAATCAACAGACTTATTACAAACTATATTCGACAGTACAATGCCTCAGATTGACCAAAGTCAAACATCAATAGAATATAATTCTCAATTTTCAACGTTAACGACAATTATATCAACTAACGAATACATAACATCTTCAGCAAAACCTATCACTGAACAAATTACATTGACTGCACTCATCGATCCAAACTCAACTGAAGCGAATACTATAACAAATAATAATATATTTACAATTCAAACAACTGAAGAATCATCAACTCTGCCGAACAACGATTATACATCAAGCATGAAGTTATTGGGATCTCTCAGTACTGAGATAAGTAAAACATCGTTGATATCTGATACTACATTATCAACTCAAATGAATAAAATAAGTGATTCTAGTACAGAATCGATTTCTTTGTCTACTTATGAAAATGTTTTTAATTCAATCAATCCTATAACTTATACAGGTACAACATCAACAACCATGAGCGTAGATACAACATTAGACAAACAACTTCCTACTTCAATTGAGACTTCAATAAGTTCTAGTAGTTCTACGCTGGATATAATAACATCGACTAATTCTCAATCAAGTACAGCTGAAGTAACAATTGAAACAAGTTATATCTCATTGCTTGATATTACTACAAACAATATAAGCGTTGTATCAACTAGCCATTTCAATCTTGATTCTTCAACACTTTCAAATTCACCTACTAGCAAAATCGAGCTTACGACAGAAGTGTTTTCCACAATGAATTCAGAAACACTAACAACTTTAGAAACTAGCTTTTCAACATTATATGAACAAGTCTCAAGTTCAGCTCAGCAATCATCCGTACCTTCATCACAATCAGTAACAACGACAGGTGCACCAACTGAATTATTCGTAGAAACATCATCCGTAACTAGTTCATATGCACCACAAAGTGATATTTCTACGAGCCAGCTATTAAGCTTTACTTCAACATTGATATCAACAGCTCTGACTGACTCTGCTATTCAAATGACGTCTCCTACGAGCATCAACATATCTGAAGAAATCACAACAAGCACCGCAGTAACATTAACTACAAGTTTGACACAAATGTCAAGTTCAAGTGAACAATTTACCTCTACATTCGTATCATCATCATCAGAATTGGTATCTACAATCGACACTACAGCACCAACTACAACGTTGATAACATCGATTTCTGATATATTTTCATCCACAACCGTTCCGGAAACTAGAGAAACTTCAACGATTTCATCAACAGTATCAGAAACGACTAAATCAACCTCTGAAATGTTATCATTTACGGACTTATCCAGTGATACTAGCAGTGCTCCGATGTCGACCGTTACCTTGCAGGCATCACTGCCATTTGTTGTCGATGCATCTCATGCTACCTCTTCAGCTACTGTTTATACATCAGCATATGACAGTACAATCATCGATGTAACAATTGCATATGGATTACAAAGTGACACTACTACCAGTCAACTAACAACATTGTCTTCAATTATCTCAAACTCAACTGAACCATCTATTTCCATCCTGACACTAACAACTACGACAACAGCTGAACATAGTATCTATGAAGCAACACCAGAAACAACTATGATTCCATCAGAAGAACCAAAAACAAGTATCACCGCAATATTATCTACCAGTTCAGACCATAGTTCAAGCTCAGCAGAACAGTTCATTTCTTCATCAGAACTAGTAACTAGTGTTGGCAGTGCAACAATGTCGGCAAGTTCTCTTTCGGACACACCTCCAACTACAGCCAGTACAGCGACGGAACTATCTTCAATATTGTCATCAACTGTCTCAGATACGACTGAAACCTCATCAATTACACTGTCATCGGCTACAACCCCAATTGAAGTCACTTCATCAACCACAGTTTATCCATCAAAATCTGACACTACCATCAATGATTTAACCACAGTCTATCTATCACAAGATCACATTACCAGTAATTTATTATCAACATTCTCGTCGGTTACGTCAGATTCGAGCACAACAACCACGTCAATACTAGTTCCAACGCCTGTAACTGTTTCTCTTATTGAAACTACAACAATAGCTCCACAGACTACCGAACTAACAACGCTCGAAACAAGCACGAGTACATCGGAACTACTACAAACAAGTATCACGGCAAGACTATCTATCAGTTCTGAATATACTTCAAGTCCAACTGATCAGTTCGGTTTGTCATCAGCACCAGTACCTACCGTTGCCACGACAACAGCGGTATTCAATTCGAACTCTGACTCAACATTGATGACATCTGTTTTAGAAACATTTTCAGCTACAATCATTCCAGAAAGGACACAGTCTTCAACGTTGTCTCCGATCTATTCAGATTCCACTGTAACATCTACATCAACATTGTTGTCAACAATCGTCACTGCTACTCACATGGAAAGCACCATCACAGCTGAAGAAAACATGACAAACACACAAGCAATCCTATCTACCACTTCCGAACAAACTTCAAGCTCAACACAACAGTTTTCATCGCCATTAGACTTCGTACCTACCATGGACACAAGTAACTCGATATCAGACACTATTCATAGTACAACCTTTATGACATCTATTTTCGACACACTTTCATCCACAACCATTCCTGAGAGCAAACCAACTGCAACATTATCCACAATAATCTCAGGAACCAATAGTCCAATGATTGAAACTGCGTCAGTTACAACATCTTCAACGCTTACTAACACCGCTCCATCAGCAAATATCATCCCAGAAACATCAATGCTGGGAAACACCCTACTCAGCACACTATCACCTACCGCTACTACTACCAACACAACATCATCACCGATAATATACCCGACAATATATGCCACTACAATTCTCGACCAAACATTTACCTCAACATCAGTCTCCACGAGTATCGTAAATTCTGTTATCGAAACTACAACCACCAGCGAAACAACGTTTCACTCAAGCATTAACACNTCTTCAACTGACACCATGGGTACTTCCATATCAAGTACTATGCCAGAAATATCATCGTTATCTGCAATTGAAGTCGCATCATCAACTATGGGTAGCTCAACGACATTTGCTAGTACAATGGGCAGTGTAACTAATCACGAATTGCCAACATCCTCTTTAGCTGACTCAGACTACAGTGTGGCATCTAATTCGACATTACTCGCAACGAGTATCGTAAATTCTGTTATCGAAACTACAACCACCAGCGAAACAACGTTTCACTCAAGCATTAACACAATTGAAACGATAACGGCTAGTGCAGCAGCAGGTTTCTCTGTTGGTTTTGAACAAACATCTAGCTCCACTGAGCAACTCTCATTATCGTCAGCAGCAATATCTTCAATAGACACGACGACACAGGGATCGAATTCTGTTGATAGTTCTACGTCAATATTATCTGGTTCTGAAACATCTTCAATTCCGATAATTTCAGCAACAATATCTGAAACAATTGAACCAACAATTAAGACACCATCGATTACAGATTCTTCAACTGACACCATGGGTACTTCCATATCAAGTACTATGCCAGAAATATCATCGTTATCTGCAATTGAAGTCGCATCATCAACTATGGGTAGCTCAACGACATTTGCTAGTACAATGGGCAGTGTAACTAATCACGAAT